CTAGCATCATCATATTATGAAGTGTTGACTGCAGTTGGTAGAGGGGGTATGTTTTTGTGTATATACATTATATACACAGATGGGTACAAAGAGTAAGGGGTGTGCGTTATGAAATAAGGCCAGAAGATCAAACAATCAAAAGACAGGTATATGCAGAACACATATGAAGATAAGATCCAGTTGAAAGAATATAAACATTTCCGTCAGAAATTTGTCAGAACTAGCAAAAACTGGCAAAGCAAACTGAATTGTGCACAATATATAAACCTAACAATGAACAACCCATTCCCAGTCTCCACTGAGCCACAGTTTGATAGTTTCATGCTGGAGTACCTTTGAAACTTCTTCCCTGGAACATAACAAGTCTGTTACCAAGTGCCCAGGGACACTAAAATGCCCACTCCTAACTGTAGAAAGGAATCTTGTTTGCTTTTCGCAATGTCGTGAGATTACATCGCAGACCAAATGTTAGCAAATGAGCATACATGTAAGCTAATTTGGTTTTGATTACGGATACTTCCAGAACTATTGAGTAATGCTGTAATGCCACTGCTTTCCTGTTTCCTAGTACATTTTAACTTACTGATCTTAAGCTCATATCTGAACTTTAGTCTAACAGGTAGCAAAGGGGGGGGGGGGAGGGCAGAATAACTTCTGATCACAGATGTAAAATATTTTGAGACTGTGATCACTGAAGCTGAGACACTCAAACGGCTCCCCGAAACTCAAGAAACAATATACTTGCTAGCCTGTCAGGCATCACCAAGATCTCTGACGCTCTGGCTGTCAGACTAAACACAGCTATCGCTCAGGAACCAAGCAATTTTGATGTTCCAGTCAATTTTCACTCCCTTTCATGCTTAAAGCTCTCCTGAACAACATTCTTCAAAAGCAAGCAGGCAAGCTAACTTTTTATCTAAATGAGTGTAACTTATCAAGAACTCCAGAGGGGTGGGTTGTCCAAATAACAAAAAAAGAAGAAGAAGAAGAGATTGGATTTATACCCCGCCCTTCACTACCCAAAGGTGTCTCAGAGCGCCTTACAAACTCCTTTCCCTTCCCCTCCCCACAACAGACACCCTGTGAGGTAGGTGGGGCTGAGAGAGCCCTTGACAGAAACTGCTCTTTTTCAAGGACAGCTCTTATCAGAACTACAGCTTGCCCAAGGTCATCCAGCCAGGTGCAAGAGGAGGAGTGGGGAATCAAACCCGGTTCTCCCAGATGAGAGTCTGTGCACTTAACCACTACACCGAACTTGCTACACCAAAAAGCAGTATGCAAATGATTCAAAGAGCAACCTCATAGTAGCATTGGTTAGACCACTGACAACAGTAGCAGTTGCACGATCCTTCAAGCTTCGTAACCCGCTAATCTGAAAAAGACCTAGTTTTTGAACCTCTGTCTTCAAACAAACTACCGCTAGCATAGTGTGCTGGTCAGACTGTTGGGCTAGAATCTGGGAAACAGGTTCCAGTGGTCACTTTGCCATGAAACTTCCTCAATGACCTTGGGTCACTCTCCTAAACTCACACACAGGGTGATGATAAAAAGGGGAAGGAAGAACTTCTCCAAGGAGAAGAGACGAAACAAATATGGACTAGGTAGACAGGTTATGGGATGGAGCTACACACTACAGGCAGCTAGCCAGAAACTGCTGAAGGAGGTGCGTTAAGAGTACATTGTGGGAAGCATCCTATGTCAACACACATCCTGAAAAGCCTAAATAATATATTTGGTTAAAAAATGTTAATAAAATTAATCTATTAATGAGAACAGAAGAGAATGGATTTATACCCCACCCTTCACTCGGAGTCTCAGAGCGGCTTACAAACTCCTTTCCCTTCTCCTCCCCACAAGAGCTTGATAGTCACCATGGTGCCCTTACATTCAGTGGCCAGGACACTGGAAGCTGGTTATTACTGCTCAATGTGCAGTTGGCTTGAATACCGCCAGCCTGCTTTCATGTTTTCATCTGTTTGTTTTTAAACGAAAGCTGAAAACACAGGGAAAAGTGCTGGAATATACCAGAGGGGGCCAGGCTTCTGAAGTTCTGTGACTGCAGCCATCAACTGGTTTTATCTGTTTGCAGAAACAGGATCCAGGAATGCATAAGGAAAGAAGTTTCAGAGGGTTAGCCGTCAGTGTTCCCTCTAAGCTGAGTTAGTGTTAGCTCCCTCACAGGTTTTTAGCCCCTGGCTCACACATTTTTGTCCGAGCTCAGGAAGGAGGGCTCCAGAGCAAACTAATTTCTGCAGCAGCCAAATCGCTCGCTCACAACTTTAATGCCAGCAGCTCACAAAGAAGAATTTTTGCTCACAAGACGCCACAGCTTAGAGGGAGCCTTGTTAGCCGTGTTGGTCTGCAGTACAACAGCTAGATTTGAGAGCCCGGCACCACCTTAGAGACCAACAAGATTTTTGGAGGCCTATGCTTTCAAGAGTCAAAGCAGATAAAGCAAAGAAGGACATTCACACACAGTTATTTCGCTGTACAATAAAAATCTATATAAATGGCACATGGCTGCTTCATTCCATTGTAGGAAGGCGTATCCCCAGAAAGCCACAGAGGTGAGATCCTAATTGAGAAGAGTCTGCCTCGACAGTAATGGAATGATACTGGGAGAGGGCTGAAGGTCCAAGAAACATTTTACAATACACACAAGGCCAACTACGTTGCATATTAACATGGCTCCTCTACGTCAAGAGGCCACCCGCAGTCTCCAGAGGAGTCAGCTTATTGCAATGCATCTTGGCTAATGAAATAAGAAACAAGATGTGCTAATGAAACAGCAGTAGTTGCATTTAGAACACCCTGAAGTGCTACAGAAATGCTAAGTGCTTCACGTACATTATCATCATAAACTTTGCAACAATCCTGAAGGCAGGCCGGTATTAGCCCTGTATTACTGAGCGGCTTGCCAAAAGCCACCCTGGGCGCTTTCAGCTAAGGGGAAATTTGAACTGGAAGATTTCTGGCTTGTGTTCTATACCAGCTTTAGAATGAAAACTTTCTTCTTTCAAGACAGCAGCTTTTAACCACATGTATGAAACGAGGCTGAGTGTCAGACATTATTTTGGCTTGCTAAGCCAGAAGCCACCAGACTCAAAGTATCTTATCTGGTCAACGTGTTAACAGAAAGGCTTCAGACCTCAGAGGCATCAGGTCAAGAATGCTCTTTATTTGGAGGCAAATTCCATTAGGATGAGAGTCACTGACCTTTTAAGACCAGACACACTTTTTAAATTCAGTCATTTGTAAGAGACAGTGTACTTTTTTTGCACTGAAAAAGTGGGAGGAAGAGGTTATTGACTTTTACTCATTGCTTTAGCAGCAAAAGAAGAACCACCATTAGACTGCTTTACGTATTGTGTTTTTAGTAATGAGTAAGGCAGCTCCCACGGCTAAACACGGCAGGGACAAATCCCATTCCATGGACAGCTCTTATATGACTGGGGGGGATTAAGCTCCCTCACATCTTTCCTTTATCTCCCTGCAGAATATTGGGCTACAATTTCACCTACATGCAGGTCATGCCTTAGCATCAAAAAAAAAACTGAAGGAAAGTGAATTACCAGATGCAAAGAAAAGTCACGGCTCCAATGCTGCCTCACAGTTATGGAGCAGAGGAGGTTTCAGCAGGTGCATCTGCCCCCACTCCACCGTGACAAGCTACACCCCATGAAACACCATCTTCTGCCACAAAACTGCAAGAGCCCTGCCTCCAGTTATCTTGGAGGGAACAGGCAAAAGGTGGAAATATGCAGTAAAGAATATAAATTGGGTCCCATGTCACAGAACGGGATTAAAGGTGGGCACAGAGTCAGATAAGACTGGGAGACTACTGTTATCAAATTTAGCAGCTGTCAAAGAGTCTCCTCTCCCCCCCCACACACACACCATTCCTGACAACTGTTGCAATGCCATCAGAATCCCACTCCTGCTGGAAACATTTCTTATATGAACAAGAAGCAAAGCCATGATGAGCTATCCAAAAAAAAAAAACACAACAGACAGAAAGCGCCAAAGGTGACAAGCCTGCATCCTTTCTAGGGACACCCTGGAGAGAGGCTGATGTGCCCTTAGGTATTAATGCCCTGCAACTGCAGAACAGAAGGCCTCCCCACCGAGGGGGAAGAAAATAACTTCCTTCCTTGCAAGCCGTTTGTTTCGGCCCCGCTGAACCTATCCGTGCCCGGTTTGCTGGTAAATGCTTAACCTCAAACTGAAATCGCCCTGCCGGCCAATGTCCACGCTTCCAGCCCGCCCCAACAAAACTATCCAGCCTGCCGGGTGCCTGTTTCCCCAGGCCCGACAGTGACTCAATCTCAGTTTAGCCTGCCAAGGCACAATGAACCCCAGTTACCCGGGGTGTTTCAACACCACCGACACCCCCCACCGCACACCAGCCCACCGTGCCCAGTTGGCCACTTGCATTTCAACCCCCAATGTGCCACTTGCGTTTCAACCCCCAATGTGCCACTTGCGTTTCAACCCGCAAAAGGAATCATCCTAACCGGGGGGTGGGAAGGGGGCAGCTGCGTTTCAACCCCCCCCCCCGCGAATCCCTCCTGCCTGCTTCGCCAGTTGCACTTTAACCCCCCGACCATTGTA